AATATTTACTCAATTACATAAAAAAACTGTGTTCTAACATCGTTCCGAGCTCAATTGATGTACGTAAAACTGATAGCCATCTTGCTTTGATGTCACAAGATGGCGGCCTCATTGGCGGGCAAATGGCGCAGGGCAGCGTCAGGTACGCTACATGTGGCGGTAACAAGGTGTGTCTGCTCGCAATGGCCTGAGGCGATCCACGGCGTGCGTTGCTATTTTGCACACTAATTGAACGCACCAGCACTGGCGCGCAAGACGAATGTCTTGGTATCACGCTTCGTATACCTTTGATCACAGACATAACCGTGTAGTGCCGGGTTTAGATTGTATACGAGTAAGTCGTCGTAATGTATTAACTATATGTAAACTAGTTCGACTATTTGATCATGTCATTCAACAGCGGTGTTTCTGCGTCTTCTCTGAAGGCAAAATACTAGTTCTCTTTCTCTCTTCCCGCCATTTTATGCGGATGGGAGGAGGTATTGGCAGGGACAATACGGTGCATCCTCTCTTCTGTCGAATAAATGTAAACAATGCATCCGCAACCATGTCTCAGAGCACTTATTTTTGGTAAAATAGCGAAGTAACCGTACTTTGCTATTTTACAGAAAATAATTGCCCTCTTGCTTGTTAACTGCCATATAATAACTAAAAAAATGTCTGTCATGATTAAAAGGTTTTTTCTTTCTTTAACTCCATCTTCACTGTATAAATTTACAATAATTAATCAATAACTCAACAATCGTGCGTGAGAGAGAGAGAGAGGGAGCACAGGAATTAATGCCGCGAACAATTTAAAAACATGAAAATATATATATGGTGTGTGTTATGTGAAAATACAAATAGAATTAATGTATTCAACTTTTCAGTGCCATTTGATTTATCGTTTCATTTAAATCGCATATAAACGTTTTATCTAGAATTATTTAATTTTTCTTAAACATCGATTCGACAGGGTAGAGTTGAGAAACGCGTTCGGTTACGCTCAATAACGTCAACATTTTTAAAAAAAGAATGTAATTTTATTTCTGTGACAGTTGTTTTATTTTTAAACTTCCACCATCTTAATGTTAATGACACGAAGACAATTAGGGCTGTGATTTTGATTTAACATTTTGTTAAATTAAATCTAGATGTTGAAACTTTATCATAAACGCTTGATTTTACAAATGTTTACAACAAAAATCGAATCTTGCTTTCATAACTGCTTATTTCTTGCGTAGTTATTCGATGCAATTTTAGTAATTGTTCACAGTAAAATTAGATTTTATAATATTAGTTACACTTTTCAGGGAACTCTATAAGGGGTTTTTCCTCCCAAAATGGACCCCTTCAGAGATCAATTAAACATAGCCTTGCCAGACTAGGATTAAGCTACACGGTTTATCAGGAAATCTGTTGAGAGAATATCATCATTAGTGTTGTATCCCTACCTAAAATCCTTTGAAAATACGGAAACAAGGCTTTCTGCAATATAAAGATCATAACGCACATTTAAAAACCATGGTTAGTATTTACCGCTCGGGGAATCTCCCAAACTTTATCTATGGCCGTAAACGTTATTTTGACTTTATACCCTGCAAAATTCACTCTCGACTTTGGTCTTATTTTATTCCACGTTATATTTATACCCGTAGACTTGGTAATCCGTAGCCCTGCCGTATACAGAACCTGTAACATTCGTAAGAGCATAAGCAATTAATCAGTATAAGCGTTTTATTAGAGGGGATAGCGCTCAAACTCTGTTCCGCCAAATACGTCGTGCCGACTGACAGCGCGCGCAGCAAACAAACAAAATGGCGGCTACATTTATCACGCGATGTATGTTAAATTGTGCCTTATATCGTTGTTTTGTTACTGATTGTACTTTTATATTAAATCTATAAAAATATAGCCAAAATAACTCGGTCGTAAACGGAGCTAAAAATTATGGAAAATATCTGCTCCAGTCTGTTTAATACTTAACTTGATGTGTATAGTTTACAGCTCTATAGTCTATGATAGTAATACATTCTGATTTTGAATTCACAAACTATAGATTTAGCGTAGTACGCTATGTTGCTTTTGAAATAATACACTGTTAAAAAAAAATTCACACTCTTAGAGTACAATAACACAAATTTCCTTCGAGGCTCTACGAAATAGCGTAGACCTTTGTAAGTATTACAGAAACAAAATGATTTTTTTTTAGTATGAAGTCCATAATTCCGCTTAATTAGTGATCAAGTAAATTTTCAGTGTAATTAATCAGAAAACGTAATTGTTTCTTCTTACAATCATCCTTATAAATCTAATTACGTATTAAGCCGATATTCGCTTAGTTTTAACTGTTACAATTTAACTGAAGTAAAAATTTTGCTTACACGTGTTTTGAATCTGTTGCCGGCTTTATGTGATTGTAACATGTACTTAGTTTGAGTTTGAGCAAGGGGAGTTATACACGGACAGCACAACAATCATGTCATAGCTGAAAAACTTGTAGGAGCTGAAGCACTTTCCTCTACGAATATCTAGAAGTATTTTTGTATCTAAATTTGTTCACATTAAATTAATAGATGAAATTTGTGTTGAGGAGTTCCGGAGGAAACAATTGTGCAGCAAAGATGCCGCGGACATCCATTACGGTAAGGAAGCGTGACCGCGCCACAGACAAAAATGTCTGACGGAATACAAACAGTGACGTGACAGCGGACAGTCGCCGACGATATGCATTTGTTACAAAATATTTTATCTAAACTAATATTATAAGAAGATTTACATTTTCCGCTAGCGACGCCAATGAATTAAACTGTAAAACTGCAGTAGGAAATTTTTATTTTTATTTCCGTTCTATGTTTAGTAGTTGTAAAACAGTATAGAAAACTTGTACTTTATGTTAAAAATAACTTTGAAAATAAATCTAGTATTTGGAAACAATTGCATTATCTAATAACGTTAATAATTATTCTTGACACTATTTATTTAATACTGATTAATCGTTTAAAATATTGTATTTGGGCTACAGAAAAAAATCAGTGTAGCTGTTGTTTTCTAATTATTGTTGTAAGAATTTTGAATGCGTATATCCGAACGCGGTACGTCAGCCATTTTTCATAGCACGCGTGAACGCTTGGCCGGTTGAACGGCGCGGGACGGATTTAGCCGCCAGAGACCGCTACCGACAACCGACAAGGAGACACCGTGCATTTCAGCTAATTGCTTTTTTCATAGTCACCATACAGCCCTGCTATTATACACAGTTATTTTAATGGCACATACCGCCTGTTGAAATTATGATTTATTTTTGAGTAATAATAATTAGTTAAGGGAATCTAACAGAAATTACGCTCACAGTATTAGTAAAGGACAAAGTACTTTAATGAAATCGGTTTTTATCGTTTTAGCGAGCTTCAAGATTTTATGCTAAGCTTGAATATTTCAACCAAACTGTGCAGCAAACCTATTTAGCGTTTAATTGATCTCTAATTAATTTAATGTCTATGTAAAGCGCTAATGCGCGGTTCACACTCAACCTGTATAGTCGGTCTGGTCAATAGCCTTCGATAACTGGACTGGCCGTCAACTGGCATATTTTTGGAAAATAATTAATTTAACAGAAGTTTAACATACATATAAGTTTACTTAATTAATTCATCCCTATTGAGGATTTGGTTATAGAAACTGTGGGTTGAGATTGTGGTAAGAATTTCTATGTTTAAGAATTTGTGCCTTACAGTGACATCTTTTGGTGAATAGCGTAAATCGTTTTAAAAAAGGAATTATTGAAAATTTTTAAAAATATTATCAAATTAATAAGTAATAATAATAATAATAATAAAGCCTCTTTATTTCCATATCTAAGATTTTTATAATTGATTTACATAGTATTTGTTAGTATTGTTAGTAATTGACTTATAAAAAGTATGTTCAAATTTTTGCGTTAGTATTGTTAGTTTCTTAGTTTTAGATATGGATCCCGTGTTGGGTAAAGGCCTCCTTCGCCGTTTTCCATGCCCTTCTGTCCCTGCCAAGCATCATCCAGTCGTTTCCTATTTTGTCAGTAATGTCATCAGCCCACCGTTTGTTAGGTCTTCCAACGCTTCTTTTACCTCCTGGTCCCTTCCATTTCGTTGTTTCTATAGTCCACCGAGAGTCAGTAAATCTGGACAGGTGTCCAGCCCATTGAAATTTTAATTTTAAAGCTTGTGTTAAGGCATCAGCTATTTTTGTTTTTTGTTTGATGTTATCGCTTCTAATTTTTTGATTTTTTCTAATATTTAGTGTGCTTCTTTCAATTGCTCTTTGCGTTGATATTATTTTTTGCTTAGCTTTATTTGTGAAAGTCCAAGTTTGACAGCCGTATAACAAGCAGGGTAATAAACAAGTCTCGACTACGATTTTTTTCAAACTCAAGGGATATTTCCCTTTGAGAATCTCTTTTAATGACCAAAATCGTTTCCAAGTTATATTTGCTCTTCTTTGGATTTCGTAATCGTTGTTTGAGTTTTTGAATGAGATTTGTTTGCCGAGATATATGTAGTCCTCAACATAGTCTATTGTTTTATTTCTTATTTTAATTTGTAATTGGCAACTGTTTGTCATTATTTTAGTTTTGCTAGCGTTCATCTCCAGTCCTACCTTGTAGCTTTCCTCGTCGAGTTCTAGCAGCATTTTCTGGAGTGTGCGCCCGGATTCCGCGAAGATAACAATATCGTCTGCGAATCGGAGGTGACTTAATTGTCGTGCCGCTATATTAATGCCTCTGTATTTCCAGTCTACTTTACGGAATATTCCTTCGAGAACAGCAATAAAAAGTTTAGGTGACAAAGGATCGCCTTGTCTTACGCCGCGGCCAAGTTGTATATCTTCCCCTTAAATTAATAAGTACTAAAATAAATATTTTCGCTTGAATAACACTCACTGTAGTTATTAGATTTAAATTAACGAGAATCATCTGAACAAAAAAAACTAACCGATACAATTTATTATCTGTGCAATGTTGACTGACAGCTAACAAGCAAAGAACTTAAAAAAGTTGTAAATCTTAGCTGTGTTAATGCTCCGTGATATAAAATAAAGTTAATTTAAGTATAATGGGGACAGAAATAGCAATATCATTTACATCTTTACGTAATCAACTAGAAAATGAAAAGAGTAGTTTGTTTAAAATAGATGAAAACATTAAGAAAATTGTCCAAACTTCTGGACGGTTTCCCAACGATAGGTTAGTTTAACAACAAATTAATTTAAGTAATTATTAACATGATTTGTTTTAAATAACCTTTTACTTGTAGGTTTAATCAATCCTCACATTATATAAGAGGTGGACAGCAATCTGGCGGACGGAATTCTTACTTGGACTTCAAAAATCACAAGACCGACGATCAATTAGGAAAACGTAAAACTGAAACTAAAACGGTTTTTAGCAGGTATTTTCACTTATTACACACGAATAGTTCAAGTGCCATTGCTTCTTTAACTAAACTATTGCAATAATCAAGAGTTTTAAGAATTTTGAAGGTTAAGTTTTGACTAGTAAGTTGATTACCAACAAGCCATAGCCCTCGTCAAGGGAGATTTGTGATATCAGCTGCACCCCCTATAGACCTATAAACCTTTTTATTGACTTCAAGTTTATTAAATTCATTCTTAATTTTAAGATTATCAGTCAGAGACCAAGATAGTGATGGCGACGATGACTTTCCGAGCGTCAAAAGGGCAAAGGTTCCGTCCGCGGTGTGCCGCGAGCTGCCAACAAGAGCGGCGGTGCTACGAGCACAAGGAGATGATGAGCAGGCAAGGACAAGGAATAGAAGAATATTTGGATCACTACTCGGAACCTTACAGAAGTTCAAACAAGAGGAAATTGTATTACAAACTAAGGTAATGTAAAATAGACAAATCCATACTAATATTGTAAAGAGGAAATATTTGTGTTTTTGATATTAAAAAAACTAAAACTACTGGGCTGATCAGTGAGTAACATAGGCTATATTGTATAATTTTTTAATTCCATAAGGACGAAATCGCGCGCAACAGTTAGTTTATTAATATACAGACACTATTTAATGTAAAAAAACTAAAAAAATCACATAAACTAACTACTGTAACACTCCCGGTGAAGATATAAATCAAATGGCACCTCTCGTCATGATTTATTTATTTATTAAGGCTACATAATTAAACTAAAACACACAAAACAACTGACAACCAACACCTGAGTCTATTAAGTAAAAGTTTTTTTATAACCGATAAAGACCACTTGGCAATATGGTTTTGATGCAACCTTAAGTCATCTGAAGGAAACATTACAGTAATATGAGATTGTTCGAACAGGACTATAATTTATTGCAGTTTCAATCTCTAATATATACCAAAGATTTTCAATTTACCAATTTCTTATGCACATTTATCTGACATTCTGATGTGAAATCAAGTTGATTTTGTTAAAATTTAATAGTTTTAATGCATTTTTTAAACAGGAGGAAAAGAAGGCGCAAGTCGAACGTAAAATAGAAGAACAGGCGAGATTACAAAAGGAAAAAGAACAGAAAGAGAGAAAAACATTATTTGCTGAGAGAGAAAACAAGAAAGCAACAATCAAAGCGCTAGAAGTGAAGATGGCAAGAGTTGAAGAGTTTGAAAAATGGGAGAAGTCACAAAAGGATCTTGCAAACTTTATACTGACAAAAACAAGACCACACATTTATTGGTTGCCTAAGAAGATGACGGAAAAGGCTACAGAAAAGTTGAATTCTAGCAGAAAATACCATGAAAGTAAGTATTTGCAACTTTAAACAAAAAATTAAATACACATATTGCCGGAGCAATTCTTTCACCAGAGCTTATTTAGACTAAAATACCTAAGACTTCAGTTTTTAATTAATTTAATTCCTTTAGCTAATAAAAATTTTATATAGACCCTAGATCTACAATTAGGTAAGTATTTTTATTGTGATCTGTCTACATTATCAGTTTGTTTGTAAATTAGTAGTATTTAATATTGGTTAGTAGTGATTGTTTTAAAATTTACAGCAAAGTATGGTCCTTTATACAGAAGTGAGTATATACATTTCTTACTCTATGTGTGACAGCCAAAAATATATCCAAATCTATTAGTCAAAATAAACTCTGGATAAAAAATACTTCTTAGCAATTTCCCTGATACTCCATCGAAATCAATGGAAATAAGAAGTTATAGTCCAATAAGGATATCAGAGTTGGTGGGCAAAAGTCAAACTAAATTATCAAAGCTAACTGTACCACTTGTTAACTCCATAATGGTTAACAAGATTGTTTTTGTACTGTTGTATGTGTTTGCATGTCATTTCAATTTGCAAATCCATTTAAACAAGGATATATCCTTGTTTGATTATATACATCTTTACACATTTCACTGGCTGGCAATATAATTTGTCTATGGATTTATTTTAAAACAATTTAGCATTTATCACAATTTTGTTTTTCTTATTTTATTTAAGTCTATGTTTTTAAGTATGATGACAGAAATATAAGAGTAAAATCTAGAGAAATCTAGATTGCCCTTGCAGTAAACTAAATACTACATGTTGTTAAAGACTTTGTACTTCTTTAATAGAATGCATGATCAAGAAACGCGCTGAACTCCAAGTGGAATTGCAACGGATAGAGCAAAGATGTCTACGGCGTGGTCCAGCTACCAAAGAGAACCAAAACCATTCATCACACACACAAAGTAGAGAGGTTAAAAAAGAGAACAGAGAAGATAGTGAGAACTCTTTGACTTTTAAGAATGAAGAAGATACAGGCAGAAAGAGAAACAAATTTGCAATGGATGTGGATGAGAAAGAGAGAGAAGATAGCGATGGAGATGACAGACCTGATGAAGTTAATAAGGATAAACCTGAGGAAGATATTAGTAAGTGTTTGTTAATGAAGTTATATTGAATTTTGTTGTTTTACTATTTTTTACCCGCGTGGAATTTAAAATAGAAACAAAAGTGAGTAGCCTATGTGTTCTTTCAGACTACGTCTACACCAAATTTCGTCGAAATCCATTCAGCCGTTTACAAAATTCAACAAACATCCATTCAACAACTATCACAATTATAATATTAAGTATGATTTGTATATTATGGGTGGATAAATAATAGCTTTGAAAAATCCGTTCAACTTTTCTGAGAATTAGGTAAACATGGTCCAAGTTTTATACGAAACCAATTTGAAAGTAAACATTTTAAGTAACATAGTAATATTTAAAGAAGGAATGTTTGCAATTAAATATCTCCAATACAGCGTAATAGATATAAATTGATACATATGGGTAAACATTGAAAATACACATAGGCTAATTTTTTTAATTCCCTGCAGACGAAGTCGCGTGCAGTTAGTATATAATATTTTTATCATTACAGTAAAAGAGAATGATGAAAACAAAATGGACACAAATAGAGAACAGCAAGAAGTAATTGAGGAAAAAGAAATTGGAAACGAAATTGCACAGTTGGAAGAAAATACAATTGTTGAGAGTGAAAGAGTAGTACAAGATGTATCAGAACAGGAACCTATAGACAAAGAACATTCCCAATAGCGCATGTAGTGACAAAATCAAGTTGGCAAGATGTTTTCTAATAAAGTAATAAGCAATATTTGAGTCCATAAATTGATTTTTTTTGAGTTCGGCCACCTTTTAATTAACTTTTTTCACATAGGAAAACATTTACTATATTAGTTTCTGTACTACCCATCACAATTCTAACTTTTGCTCGCGACTTATGCGGAATTAAAAATATATTTAAGCTGTATAGTCTATGGCACTCACAGATAAAGCAACATTCTAATGGTATAATTTTTGGATTCCGTCAACTAGTTTTTGAGTTTATTACATACAAAAATACAAGTCTTTCATCTTAAGTATAGAAGTAAATAGGAAGTGTAAGGTAACTATAATTCTTACAAAATACTGGATATAAAGTAAAAGAACTTTAATATTAAAAAGTTTATTTAAGCGGAAATAAATATAATTAAAAATCACAGATCCTCCATGTAAAGAAATGCTATAATTTACCATAAAGACATACAAGTTAATTATTTCTATGCTTTCTATACACAATCAAGCAAAAGAGGGATTTTTATTCAATATGTTTAATTCCTTTAATAAAATATCCACTGCAATACTACAATAAAAAAAAATACATTTTCTAGCAGTCATATATTAAAATAGACTCAAATGTATGAGGACTTGTAGTTTTTCCAAATATATGGAATGTTATAATAACAAAATCCTAACGCAAAATGGATTCTAAAGCAAAAAGACTGCAATAAATTAGTAATTAGTACATAATTATATGACTGAAAACTTGTTATAGTCAAGAATATTTTTGTTACAGATTGCAAATAAAATTAGAGGCGCTATGTAAAAAATAAGAGTGCACCTTGGACTAAACTATCACACTACGGTTGTGTGGTTGTTGATTCCGTCGCAACTAATGCAACTCTTCAGTTGCACAACTAAAAATCGAGTAGAGCGCACCTCCACATAAGTTTATAGTAATCAAAGCATGACTAAACAGTTGTGCGATAGTTTAGTTTCAGGTGTGCACACTAAAGATAATTTTGAAGCTGTATTCAGTATTACAAAACTAGTCTAATGTAAATATTCTAGAAGCGATATCATCAAGCATCCAGTCCATTCCATCGAGAAGATTCTCTCCAGTGACAGCGGAACAGCGAACTATACGCCAGTGATGAGTCTTAATGCTGTCCAAATCCAATGCCTGTAAATACACAAATAAATATGAATTGGTATATTTGTCTACACAATTCTTGATCACTTAACATGTTAAATGCCACTATCATCAATACTATTATAATAAAGCGTAAACACACACTTCTTTGTTGCCTAAGATGTCAGCAATCACAGCATATTTTTTAATAATTCTTTTTTTAATTAAAAGCCCTACACTTACGTCAAGTTTTAGGCTATATATTTTCACGCCATTAAACTTAAGGAGTAAATATTTTGAATAAAAACCCTAATGTGGGAAAGAGACCATTAGTTTCTGCCAACATCAAGGAAGCAAGATTGCCTAGGTTTGTCATGTTATATCATTTTGACATTTGCTATTGATAATTTGACAAATGTAAACAATGAAATAAAATTTTCATAATTTCATGCGGATGAAGCCGCATGGGAACAGCTAGTTTTGGATAAAAACCCTAATGGGATATTTGTCTACACAATTCTTGATCACTTAATATGCTAAATGCCACTATAATTACTAAATTGAATTCATAGTGTGAGTCAGTGCAACTTATTTGTAAGGTTCATCTGATTTTAATTAAAAACGACTTTCGAAGGATATTATCGCAAATAAAGCTTATTAGTTATGTTTTATAAATTTTGTAATATTTTTAATATAGATAATGTTAGCTTTTTAACTATTTTTAATATATTCTGTATTCTTATCAATACATTTATCTTTATTTAAAACAACAATATTGTTAGGAAAATATTAGGAAACTGAAGGAATAGTGGGGGGGAGGTAGTTTTATAAAATATATGGCAAGGAGTGGCTCGGGCTCAGTTGCAGTCTCTGCGCTCAATCGCCAACAAGCTCAGTGTTTTCCTAGTTGTCAGCATGGAATGTTCGATATCTTTGCATTGTCACATTAGAGTTCAGTTTGTGTGTTTAAAAATAATTTACAAGTATTGTTAATATGGCCGTCCGTCTATATTTTAAAGGAAGTCATTTGTGGAAATATCTAACAATAGGATGCCATAAGGGTAAATGCATACACACAATATTTTGTCATTTAAGTGCTTTGGAGGACGAAAACTCGGTGCGCCGATCCTACGGGAGTAGGATAAGGCAGGGGAGATGATGATGATGATCACGGCTTGGGAAAAATCATGCAAGAAAGTGAAAAATATAAGTCAATAGCAGCAAAGAAGCAAGGTTACCATTGTAATAGTTGTAGCCAATGGCAAAGGCTCATGATCACTTTAGCATTTGAATTTGGCATTTACTAATAAAAGTTATAATATCATGTAGATGAAAATGAAATCGGCTAGTATCATTGCTGTAACATACTTCTCTAATCTCCTGCAATGTCAGTGCACCAGGTAAATCAGCTTTGTTAGCAAGCACCAGTAGGGTAGCTCCTGCTAGCCTCTCCTCTCTCAGCAGTGAGTGCAGTTCCCTTGCACAGTCGGCAAGTCTCCGGGCATCTGCACTGTCTACCACCCATGCTACACCATCTGTGCTCTCAAAGTAATTCTTCCAGTATGATCTGAAATATTGTAATTTTAGTAACATTTGTAATATACATATTGTTACAACATAATAGAAATGGAAGTAGTAGTGGAGGTAGTTTTATAAAAGTCTTTGCAAGGAGTGAGGCGCCCTCAGTCGCTGTCCCTTAGTCAGTTGCATTCGGTCGCTCAGTCGCTAACAAGCTCTGTAGCCGTCAGTAGCTCAGTACATTTCTAGCCGTCTCCACAGAACATTTGATATCTTTTATGTAGTTGCCTTAGTGTATTTGTTTTATAATAATTCACCAGTATTGCTCATATTACCGCTTGAATGTCATATTTTTAAAAAATTATTCGTATCGAAATTTATAACAATACATTAAATTACTGTAGTGTATAAGAAATCCAAATAACAATTATTACCTTAATGATTTCTGGCCACCAACATCCCAAATATTGAGTTTATAGCCTTTATGTTCTAGAGTCTTTATATTGAAGCCCAGAGTTGGCGATATTGTATCGATTGGTTCACCATTAAACCTCTTCAGTATTGTTGTCTTGCCAGCATTATCTAAACCTCTGATTTATTTGTTAAGAAAATTTTACATATATAATGACATTGTATAATTTTATATTAATTAAAACGAAAAAATCTTTGTAAAGAATAAATTTATATTAAATCTGAAATAAGTAATGAAATATATACACAGGACCTATTAAATGTCTTATATCCGAAACACATGTTAAGGTTTTACAGATTTTTAAAAAGGATACAACATTAGGATTCTCATTTCTTTTTCCTTCTGTCGCAGTTTCTTTAAAATTGTCAAGAAGCCCATATTAAGAATTTAGAGTAATCGACAAGAACAATAAAATCTATTTACTTTTGACTCATGTTTTGACGAATTCTCAAACAAGATTGTTATTTTTTTATGACAATTGACATTTAGATTGACAGTGTCATTTTAATTTTGAAGATTTTACGGCCTGGTTACGTGACCTTTAAGCCGTTTGACAGTATCATCTTGACGACAAAAGAAAGTGAATGGTTTTATTTATTTTTACAAAATATTAAAAAGAAATAAAACTTCAACTTGTTGTTTGTCCTTATGGGCAAAAACTTCCAAAATAAAATGTATATTTTGACTCCATTATTAATGTTTAGACTAATAGTGAACATAAAGAGAAAATTTTTTATATTAACTGCAGCTTAAAAGTATTTAACTAATAAAACAAATCAGAACGTAATATAAAGAGTAAAAAAAAAACAAAAGCAGCATTTTTTTTCCCGAATCGAATGGAATGGGAATCTTGTGGGAATCCATTAAAAACCATAGAGAAGATATCCATCCATCCATGGCCGATCTCATCAGTGTCAACTTTATTTCTATTTCAATTTCAATTATGAAGCACCTTCAATGATTTTAAGTGGGTTTATAGTGTGGAAGTGATCGTGTGGCGGCGCGGTCTTGGTGATACGGCTCTTTGGTCGGTAGCACCATGTTCAGCGGAACGGTGCGTGTAAAGGTGTGCGAGGCGACGGGCCTCCGACCGACCGACTTTCAGAAACGGCACAACATGACCTTCGGGAAACCTGGTTAGTTCATGCATAAATATAATATAAAAAGCTGGAATACCAAATAATGACTACAATAAAAACAATTTTGCTCCGCTAATGTGACAAATTTTTTGCGCATGAATAAGGCGTAACATGTTTACCAAAATGGGTGTTGGTGTTATTTGTAAATACACGATATCTTCGCAGACGATCAGCCGATAGACCCGTACGTCTCGATCGACGCCGACGAGCACCATCTAGATCGTTCAAGCACGAAACCCAAAACTTTTGACCCAGTTTGGAATGAAACATTTATACATGAAGTGCACAATGTAACTAGGTATGCTTAGTTATATATTGTAATACGAACATGCGAAATTACTTAATATGTTTCACATTGTTTATTGTTTTTAGTTTGGGTATCACAGTGTTCCATGATGCTGCAATACCTCCAGATGATTTTGTTGCAAACTGTACAATTCCTTTTGAAGATCTGATGCACAGAGATAAAGAGGCTACGGATTTTTGGGCAAGTTTTTTTCACATAGAATTTACTTAACATTTTCATGAAGCGAATTTATTGCACTATCTACTTCTTAATCTGACTGTAAACTATAGAATTTTTTTTATTTATATAATATCAGCTTGTATGTTATGTATTATGATAATTCAAGATAAGATAAATTTAATACTACTGATATTTTAAAATATAGGTTTGTAAGTCATAATAAATATGTGTTTACATATGAACAGAAACTCTTAAAATTGCTTGTTAATTATCCAAAAAACATTTTTTTTGTTACTGTTTACAATATCAATAATCTTGATTTTTTACTCCCAATATTTGTATTTATACTAAATGTAATTTAATAGTATATAGATTTTTTTTTATATAGTGTCTTTAATAAGACTCCCATATGGTCAAATACTAAAAAAAAACTTAAATTTTGCTTTGTAAGCACCGCTTAACATCTGTCATATCAAATTGTAATGGAGCTGCAGTTTAAGTGTGGCCTTATTATTTCAGACACTTTACATATAATAAACTTATGGGGAAGGAGTTGGCTCCTCAGATGGCAACTTATAGCATTTGCCAAGGCTTTCATGAAACATATATAAATGAGACAAAGCATTTGTTATATATAGATGTAATAAAAATGTCCGACAAATAATAACATGTTAAATTCAGGTCATTACATGAAACATTTTAAAGATATGTGGTTTTATGCATATCTTTGTCATTACATGTTGGCAAATTTGTATCAACTGACATCCTGTTTGTTGAACTATGACTCACTTTCAGGATATTTTAAATATATGTTACATTTTTCCTTTTATAATTACAGATTGATTCATATGGTTAATTTTGTTATATTTTAAATTAGTGGCATTATCAGTTCCAAATAAAAGGATAAGTGTCTTATATAGTCAGTTGTGGTTACAAAAAGCTTGTTGCGGAAACTGTAGCCCCTACTAATAGCACAATAATAATTCTATTTATATATCCAAACATAATGTACTTAAATGTTTATTGAGTTTACATTTTATAGGTGGACCTAGAGCCACAGGGGAAATTGCATCTGAAAATTGATCTGAAATGGAATTCTCAAGGTCAGTTTAAATACTTTGTTTATAGTTTTTTTTTTGTTTCATTTGGTCTATTTATATGGGCTATTTTTTAGTGTTTGTCACCTTTTTTCATACAGATTTTGTTTTTTTATCTGTGTCAAATTTCAATAAGATTAGAACTGTTGTAGAATTACCAAATAAACCTTAACTACTTCCGGGATCAAAAGTAGTCTGTGTTTTTTCAGACTATTCCACATCTACGCCAAATTTCATTGATATCTGTTCAACAGTTTAGACCACAAACTAAGAAATATCCATTTTTTTAATACAAAAAGGTGGCAAACAAGCAAGCGGCCACCTAAATCCGTCGAATTGGCTAAGCGACTGCTGCCAATAGATATCCGCAAATGCAAATGCGTTGCCTACTCTAAATCGACGGAGAAGGAGACGCATATAAAGAGGATGTTTTCCCTTCCTATATGTCACCTCCACTGACAAATCCACTTTCCAATCCAATCCTTTCCTTAATAGAAAAAGGTGGGACGGGAAAGGGATCCGTCCATCTCTTCTAAACTTTCGCATTTATAATATTACTGAAAAGTAAGATGATTGCAGACAGTTATGTAAATAATGTTTCTCGTTTCTAATGACTTCAACTATAGTAGTAATTATTCGCTATGATTTTATAAGCTACATTAGTTTGCGATGAAGTATGAATAGGTTTGTGTGTATTTGTAGCCGGGGGCGGGTCGGAGGGTCGTTCGGCGCGGGGGCGCGAGTTCAAGGAGGGTGCGGGGTTCGCGCGGCGTCGTGGCGCGCTGCGTCGCCGCGTGCATCAAGTCAATGGACACAAATTTATGGCGACTTTTCTACGACAGCCGACGTTTTGTAGCCATTGTCGGGAGTTTATATGGTAAGTGATTAAGGATTTTTTTTTTACTTTATCTACTTAATGGAGCCTTTAGTATTAATCTTTGATTCTTTAGTTTTGTTTCTTATTTACTATTTTTAATTATTACTAAAAGGAATGTTAATCTTAGGATTATTCAATGTCTCAAAAAATTGTATGCAAAAAGATTGTGGTATTTTGGAAAAGTAAATATATTTTAATAGTTATTCTTGTACATTACTTTTGAATTTTCTTGAATAAGTATGTTATTTGTGTAAAGTTTTAATAATGTTTGTTTTCTAGGGGTCTCGGCAAGCAAGGCTATCAATGTCAAGGTGAGAAACTTAATTTTCTTTATTTTAGTTTCTTACAATAAACAGATTATGGTGTAGTAACCGATTTGAGTTTTCTGAATTATCCAACTTAAAATAGTGCTATAAATGGTGGACTTATTTGACATTTTGTTACAGTTTGTACTTGTGTGGTTCATAAGAGATGTCACTCATCGGTAGTCACCAAGTGTCCTGGCATGAAAGAGGAGGTGAGTTATCAAAACTTTAATATTTTATTTTACAGTATACATATGGTTACAATATACTAAGTAATAATGTGACTTTTTATATTGGTTAGATAATAAAATATATAAAACTTATATAGATATGACAGATATAATACATAGGATTGTGTGACAATTTTTTTACTTTAATAAGAGTGTTAGTGGGCTGTTATAATGTATTCTGACTTTTGACTGTGTCAGATATCCTTAGTCCATTAGAATACTAGCTCTCGCCTGCGACTCCTTTCGTTTAGATTGTGACGGTAAGGTTTTTGGGACACTTGATATTGACATTGGATTTAAACTATTATGACTTATTTTATTTTGTATGTATTTTTCCATCCACCAGCAACAAAGCGGAGTGACAGTGTCCAGTGGTCAGCGCTTCAATGTGAATGTACCACATCGGTTTGTAGTCCACTCATACAAGCGCTTCACATTCTGTGACCACTGCGGCTCTTTGCTGTACGGACTTATAAAGCAGGGATTGCAATGTGAAGGTATCTATACTTCTATACTATTATAATAAAGCATAAACACACACTTCTTTGTTGCCTAAGATGCCAGCAATTGCAGCATATTTTTAAATAATCCTTTTATTAATGAAAAGCCCTACACTTGCACCACGCTTTAGGATATATATTTTCACGCCATTAAACTTAGGGGGTAAATATTTTGGATAAAAACTCTAATGTGGGAAAGAGACCATAAGTTGCTGCCAACATCAAGGAAGAAAAATTGCGATACTAAGGTAATTGGTATTTTGACATTTGCAATTGAGAATTTGACAGATGTGGACAATAACAATAATGAAGCCGCACGGGAACAGCTAGTAATTTATAAAGCCTAAATATAATATTTCTGCATATAACAGCCATTTTCCTGTCAAAGTCTTGCTAAAATCGGTTTATCCATTCAGAAAACTCTGAAATGCTTTCAGATATACAAGAATTAGGAAACTGAAGTTTTGTGGGATAAATTGTTGAAGAGAAATCTTAAAAAACAAAAATCTAGACAATTTTATGAGTATTCTCCACTATTTGAAAGTTATTATACACAAATTAAACAAAACATATGTTTGAATGCTTTTAAAATCTAATAAAAGACGATTGTTTTAAAACATTACTTAATACATCTATTATTTACTGCTCTTTGGTTTTGGTTACCTGAGTTTATACTTTTGCTTTAATAATTATTTCTTTGAATTAATATAATTAGTTTTGATTATTCTAACTAATTATCTATGAAATATCTATACAATTTATACAGTAGCATTTGCTCGACTTCGTCTGTGCTGAATTGAAATAAAAAACTTTTTCTAGTAAATATTAGGTTATATTCCGTGAAGATTTCATTCTTTTGTTACATAAGTAATCTTTCATCATCATGCACTTGCCCTTATCCCTTATGGAGGGTCGGCACAGTATGTGCTGCTCTTCCATACATCTCTATCAGCCGTCATATCTGAATCCACTCCTTTCTTAAGCATATCTTCTTTCATACAATCCATCCATACTTTCTTCGGTCTTCCTCTTCCTTTGTAGCCATCCACAATCAATCTCAACACTTTCTGGTTTATGTCCCCATCATTTCGTCGCATAACATGTCCATACCACGCTAACCTTTTGCTCGTCAATTTCTCCACCACTGGCGCTACTTTCAAATTTCCTCTAATGTACATAAGTAATCTTTCATCTTAACTCAATTTATTCCAAAATTTTTACTAAAATTAATTGTAATGGCAATATCTACATTAAATTTATTCCTATATGTATTAAAATGAGATATATATTTCAGTATGCTCTATGAACGTACACAAGCGGTGCCAGAAGAATGTTGCCAACAACTGCGGCATCAACACCAAGCAGATGGCGGAGATCCTCAACGAGATGGGCATCTCCCCTGATAAGAATCCTCGCCCCAGACCATCAAAGGTAAGACACATAAAGCCATCCTATACAAGCTGTTGCCCCGACAACACTCGAAAGTGATATTTAAAAAAATATTGAAGAAAGCCCATAATTTTTTTTTTTGTTTATTGCAATATCTTTAATTATTTTTTTTGTGTTTTAGTGGGAATTGTTTTAATTTATACTTACAGTTTGCTAGTACTAGTTATTTGTTTTTTTTTTCAGTATTTGAACACAGCTTTGCTCGAGGGTCCACCAGATTTGGGTTCTTCTGGTGACTCTGATGGCAAAGATAATGAGAAGCATGACGATAAAGGTATAATAAAGGGAAATTATTATTTTTTGCATGTTTCATTATTAAATTATATATTCAAATTGCTTTCATGTACTATTTATTGTTTTAGTACGACAAATTTATTTATTTATTTATTTATTTTTATTAGTTGTAAATGATTCCCACAATCAAGTCACAGTAACGTTTTACCGAAACATAAGTAGCCAGATTAGGAATGTAAAACCCTTGTTAAATCTCGGAAAAATTTCTTTGTCTACATAAGAAATTGATACAATAATAAAGCGGATTGAAACACCCTTGGCTTTTTATATTCTTGGTTAGGATATATAAATAGTCTAACGGCAGAATATTGAAACGACAAATATGTAAATGCTAAGCGCCATTAGCCTAATGGTTTGGGGTAGGGACTATTGATCTTGTGGTCGAGGGTTCGAATCTCGCTATTCGAGTATTGTCGTGACCATATCCTAGCACAAGTCTAGAGCTTAGTTGGAATGGTTAAAGGAAATATTAGTAAATTAACAAATATCTACTAATATATAAAAAAAATGATAAGACCACATTTAAAATTCAAATTTCATTAAAAATTTGGTAGCGAAGCGAAGTGTTTATGATTCGTTTCAGTGCTTAGCCGTTACGGAGATGGCATTATATTTTAGAACAATCGAGATATTTTTGATGTGACTAATCGACGGTTTTTTTTTATTTTTTTTTACCAATGGATGCTTTTTTGTTTATTTGATTTGCATGTATTACCTTAGGTCACCCGGTGGCATGGGGCCCGAACTGGGCCGAGCTACAGGATATATTCGCCTCTTACCAAGGTTTCATTTTGTTTGCATATGTTTATATATTGCTTTGTCCTGTTTTTGTTCGCTTTGGGTTGACCGTTTTTGTAAAGTAACTTACGGCTGGGACAACGTGCGTAAAATTAAAAAAAAAAACCAAAAGTACTATGTTCGTCCAGACTTTTCTCAACATGTTTGCCAAATTTCATTGAGATCGCATATATGATATTAGTAAGAAAACGATAATTATGAACTAAATCTTTTTCTTTTATGAATTTTTTATCTCGGGTCTTCCATTTAGTCTACATTTATCCTATTATAAAGAGAAAATATTTATTTTTTTAAAATGTAACATATAAACTCAAAAACTACTTAACTGATGTCCAAAATTCTTTTGCCATGAGAAAAATATATTGTTAGTGAGTGTTATAGGATTTAATTTCTAGTTTTTTTTTTAATACCGCGCGTAGAAGATAGGAATTTAACATCTACGGTGCTATTAAATGTATGGAAATTGCTATTATTTAGTGTTATATGTATTCTATCTATTCCTTTGATGGTCAACCTTTTTGAATATGTTTGTGTGTTTGTTTATTTGTATGTTTGTGGCGTACAGGCACGGATAACACACCGAATGTTTTGGATAACTGTCTTATACAAGAAAATGATACGTCTTGGCGCTCGCATTGGGACGATCTTGAAGAAATATTCACCTTTTATGAAGGTTCCACATATGTTAACTATGGTGGTGGGGCTTTTTGTTAAGTTATATGGAATTTTGTCCATGTTATTTGTAATTTTATATAGGTTTGACGTATTTATATGATAAGGAAAGAAGTAGAGTTAAATGTTTATTCAAGTATTATTTTTTTTAATATAAGGTGATTTGTTTGAAATAGATAATAGGTAGCATTCGTATTAAAAACATAATTAATAGCCAATTTTGTAAAACCGCTAGTAATTGGAATACTAACAGATAAATGCATATTTAACAATTTTTATCCGACTCGAAGGACCAAGTTCCATATCAAAGTAATGGTGATGTAAGACGTGTGGTGATGAACTGTAGGTGGTGATGGTGATGGTGCGGAGGGCAGCATGCACGGCAAGGTTTCTCTCGAAGACTTTCACTTCATTAAGGTGCTGGGCAAGGGATCCTTTGGCAAGGTTATGCTCGCGGAGAAGAAGGGCACGGATGAAGTAAGTCATTTTGTTCTATTTCCTAACTTTTTTAATAGTATAAGAGAATAAATAAGCAAGAGGACACTGGAATTCGACAAAATAGCGAAGCATAGGCATCTATTTACAAGTGCATTATAACTATATCACGAATGGCATGTACAGAAAAAAATATTTCCCCAATCTGTGGCATCGCCTGCCAAATTCACTTCCCTATCTCATTGTTTCCTTGTACGAAATGGGTGAAAAAGGTAAGAATAAAATAAGGTTTCCTCATAAACTATACTTCTATACTATTATAATAAAGCGTAAACACACTCTTTGTTGCCTAAGATGTCAGCAATTACAGCATATTTTTGAGCAATTCTTTCTTTAATGAAAAGCCCTACACTTACGTCACGCTTTAGGCTATATATTTTCACGACATTAAACTTAGGGGGTAAATATTTTAGATAAAAACCCTAATGTGGGAGAGAGACCATAAGTTGCGGCCAACATCAAGAAAGCAAGATTGCTAATGTCATTTTGACATTTGCTATTAATAATTTGACAAATGTAAACAATGACATAAAGTTTTCATAACTTCATGCGGATGAAGCCGCAAGGGAACAGCTAGTGTACTAATAAACTAAGAATAATAATATCTAGAAAAACTGAGGTTTCTGCTTTTGTTAGGTGTACGCAGTGAAAGTGTTAAAGAAGGACGCGATAATCCAAGACGACGACGTGGAGTGCACGCTGACGGAGCGGCGCGTGCTGGCGCTGGCGGCGCGCCATCCCTTCCTCACGGCGCTGCACTGCGCCTTCCAGACACGGGAGCGCCTCTTCTTCGTCATGGAGTACGTGGATGGAGGGGATCTCATGTTCCAGATACAGCGAGCTAGGAAGTTCGATGAGCCTAGAGCTAGGTCAGTTTTCAACTGAGATCTCGGAATTCTGAAGCACTTTTAGTTGGCCCCTAAATAAAACCCCGACATAATTCTGTTCCCCAGAAGGTACGGTGTCTTTCGATGTTTACCCATGCGGTATGAAATTGAACGCTTAGTTTTTGTGACTACATGTATGGATGGATGGATATGTATGTATGTATGTATGAAGTCTGAGTTTATGAAGTTAGGTTTCTTTTTACATTAATATTTTCTAGCTTGATTCTAATTCTTAAGTCTTTAGTTAGTTTTTTTTTTCAATTTGTCAGTACTTTCGTCGCCCTTTGCTAATATTGTTAAATACGATTGCTGAATGTTTGATCTTTTTGAACTGGACAATATTTTTTTACTTGAATTTCAGATTCTACGCGGCGGAGGTGACGTTGGCGCTGCAGTTCCTGCACTCGCATGGTGTCATCTACCGCGACCTGAAGCTGGACAACATCCTGCTGGACAGCGAGGGTCACTGCAAGCTGGCTGACTTCGGCATGTGCAAGGAAGGGATTATAGGTATATTCTTTTGCAGCAAAAACTTAAAAATATATATAGAGGAGGCATAGTTAACTTTTTAATAAATTGCCGATTTATAACAGCCTTTTTGTAATTTTGAAAAATATTTTGTTATTTTGTTATTACACAAGGACACGAGGTAGCGTAATAATCTTGACAACTGATATAGTACCTTTCAGGCAAAGTACCGGTGAAAATAATTGTTGGTGCCTCGTCTGTGTTTTTAAATGTCTTTGTTTTCCACATGCAAAGGGATGGTTTCTATTTTGCCTATAATTGGGCAAAATGAAAATTACGCTCTGTTTGGTCCTCTCGTAAATGATAAATCGTAATTATGATTACATACATTATTTATTTATTGTTTTTTTTTTTTTCAGATGGTGCAACTACAACTACATTCTGTGGAACTCCAGATTATATCGCACCAGAGGTAAATTCATAACTTGACTTTTATGTACAATGTAGGTATTTTTTTTTTATAATATAAGGTGGCAAACGAGCAAGCAGCCATCTGAATCCACCGAAATGGAGAGCGACCGCTGCCCATAGACATCCGCGATTGCAGATGCGTTGCCTACCCTTAATTGACAGAGGAGACGCACATTAAGAGGACATTTACCCTTCCTATGCGTCTCCTCCATAGTCAAAACCACTTTTCCTTCCCATCCTTCTCTTAAGAAAAGGGTAGAAAGGGAAAGGGACTAAAATTAGGCCTCCGACACCACACTCATCAGACGAAACGCGGAATTGCTTCCACTTCACGCCTGTTTTCTGTGTTCGTGGTATTGCACCGGATGAGCCGACCTATTCGTGCGAAGATGTTAAAGCGGGCTCTACCACTGTTAAATTCCATAGTATCCAATGAATTATCAAAAATGCTTCGATGGATGGACTTTTCTTCTTATCTCCAATCGCTTAACTAATGTAAATAAAATACACAGAACATAGTCAAAAACATCACAAAGGCTTTTACGTTTTTTTTTAATTAATTCCGCTAGGATGGAGGCTGGTTAGTAAAAAAATAGTGTAAGGCTAGTTGTATAATCTTACTAATATTATATTTCCGAAAGTTTGTATGGATGAATGTTTGAATTTGTAGTCTAAACTGCTGTACAAATCTGAATATTTGGCATACAATTTGGCTAATTGTTTTTGTTTTTAGTTTTTTTGGATGGATGATACTATTATTCTCCGATGTATTAAAGGACATAGGAAGTACACATAGACTTAGGCAGTTGCCTAAGTGCACTAGGGCTTTGTTTGAAGTTGTATAATAAACTAGCTGTTCCCGTGCGACTTCATCCGCATTAAATTACCAAAATTTTATTTTATTGTTTACATTTGTCAAATTATCAATTACAAATGTCAAAATGACATGACATGATGTCAACCTTGCTTTCTTGATGTTGGCCGCAACTTATTTTTATGGTCTCTTGCCCATATTAGGGTTTTGATCCAAAATATTTCCTCCCTGAGTTTAATGGCGTTAGAATACTTAGCCTAAAGCGTGACGCAAGTTTAGGACTTTTTACTAAAAGGAGAATTATTAAAAAGTATGCTATAATTGCTGACATCTTAGACAACAAAAAAGTGTGTTTACGCTTTATTATAATAGTATAGATATAGTTTTATTAATAAAAAAATAATATCGTATGATTTGCAGATTCTTCAAGAGCTGGAGTACGGTCCGTCAGTAGACTGGTGGGCGCTGGGCGTGCTGCTTTACGAGATGTTAGCTGGACAGCCTCCCTTTGAAGCGGATAATGAGGACGACCTCTTCGAAAGCATCCTTCATGATGATGTCCTCTACCCTGTCTGGCTTTCCAAAGACGCTGTCTCTATACTTAAAGGTATCTTTTCCTGTCTTAAATAATTGTATAGGGAATAAAAACTATATCTGCCATTTGTTAGTTTGTCGATGACTTGAAATAACCTTTTAATTTAAGAATAATAAAACTCAGATTAACAGTACACAATCATAAATACATAAAAACTATGTATTTATGATTGTGTACTGATTTTAAATTACCAGATTTTTGTGCTGATTAAAAAATGACCGTGTAAAGTAGTAAGAAATACTAAGCCCACAATTAGTTTATCTGTACTAATGTTATAAAAAGAAAGAATTGTATTTTTGTATTGAAATAACTCAAAAACTAACTCGCGGATTTCCAAAATTCCACCATTAAAAAGCTACGCCATCATTGAGTAACATAGGCTGTATTTTTATTACTTTTAAATTTCACGCGGCCGAAGTCGCGATCAACAGCTAGTTATTAAAAAATTGGTCGTAATGTTGTTAATTTGATATAACAATATTCCACTCATAGATGATTGGCGATGTTTATTTCAGCTTATTTACTTATTTCCTATACAGGTTTCATGACGAAGAGCCCCGTGCGTCGTCTCGGCGTGGCTGGCGGCGCGGCGGGTATCCGCGCACACGCCTTCTTCCGCGATATGGACTGGGATGCACTCGCACAACGACGTCTGCGCCCCCCATTCAGACCTAAAGTCGTACGTATAATACCCATTAGCTAATATATTTTTTTTATGATATAAGCTGGCAAACTAGCAAGCGGCCTCCTGAATCCACCGAAATGGAAAGCGACCGCTACCCATAAACATCCGCAATTGCAGATGCGTTGCCTACCCTTAATTGACGGAGGAGGAGACGCACATAAAGAGGACATTTCCATTTCCTATGCGTCTCCTCCACCGTTAAATCCACTTTTCATTCACATACTTTCTTCTTGAGAAAAGGATGGAAACTTTGACTTAAAGTGATATGCGATAAAATCAGGAAACAGTTAATTTTATACGACAAAACTCATACTCGATTTCAGAAGAGCAAGCGCGAGGCGGCCAACTTCGACGCGGAGTTTACCAAGGAGGACCCCGTGCTGACGCCGGTGCCGGCCGACGTGGTCCGTGCTATCAACCAGGTGTGTACACCAGACTGACATTAATTCCCAGTCTAGACTGACATTAGGTCCCAGTCTAGACCTACATTAGAATCCCAGTCTAGACCGACATTAGATCCCGGTCTAGACCGACGATATCATATACAAAAATAGTATGGACGAGCCGTTCCCGTGTGTCTTCATCCACATGAAATTATGAAAACTTTATTTTATTGTTTACATTTTGGTAATATTCAATTGCAAATGTTAAAATTCAAATGTACAAATGAAAATAACGGCCTTTGGCATCAGTGCTTGATGTTGTGCAACTTGATGTTGTTAGCTTGTAGTTTTTGTTCCTTTGTAGCATGACGGTTTTTTTCAAATTATTCACTCCCTATGTTTAATAGCGTCAAAATATATAGCCTAAAGCTTGTTTAAAGGGATTTTAGTTAAGAAAGAATTATTTAACAATATACTGTGATTGTTGACATCCTACATAACTAAACAATGTGTGTTTACACTTTATTATATTAGTATAGATAACTTAGTGCAAATTGTACTTTCAATTTATAAATGTATTTTCACTTTGCAGGAGGAGTTCAGAGGATTCTCGTTCATCAACAAGGACTACAACCCACAGCCCGCCGATAAAACGCCGGTCGCCTGAACGTGTCGGGCGCGGCGCGCCGGCGGTGACGTCAACGGCGTCAACAGTGACGTCATCAGCGTCAACAGTGACGCCGCCGGCAGTGATCGCTCGAACGGGGGCGGAGTTCCTCCCAGTGACGTCATCGGAAGTGACCGCCCTCGTGACGTCATCGCGTGCGCCGTCAGTGCCATAGTTCGCGGTCCCGTTGTCGTTCCGACGACTGAGGTTTATTTTATTTTATATATTGATTTTAAGTGCAATGCCAACAACTGTCTAGTCATGACGAGATAACCGTACGAACGGTTTTTTTTTTATTCGCGACGCGTCGTCGATCGAAGTATTATTTTTTTGTCTGTTTATTTTTTAATTAATGATCTTGTATCTTTCTCTAGTGTTTAGATTAGGGTAGGTTCGAACGTCATTAGTTTCACTGCTTCGGATTAGGGCTAGACCGAAGTATGGTTTAAAAAAAACCTGAACCGTTTCGACCGCCATTTAGATGTAGGCCGTGCAGTCTGGTTATATCTTAGCTATTCATGAAAGTCTTCACATGTTTGCTGAAAACGCGACCTACCTCAAGCGAAATTTAATTCAAATGCGCTTTACGCGTGAACTTGCTTTTTGACATCTGTCAAAGTGACATCAGTGTTGTCATTTTTTTTTTAAATTACTGGAATGGTAAAGGCATTTTTATGGACCAACCAAATAGAATCCGGAACAATGATTAAACGTAACGCCCTCGGTTATATTTAAATAATTGTTACATAAATGCAGAATAATGCATATTTAAATCGCAGATCAGGTTTGTTGTAGGATACTGTGCCTTGATTTTATAAAAATCTTTATGAAATAGGTGAATTGTTAAAATATGACCTTGTTATTTAGTTATGCCTTAATCATTATTTTAGACAAGAAATAAATATCAAAGGATACCCATAACATTGTTATTGTTAAGAGAAAAGAGAATTCTCTTTTTAAGTCTTCGTTGAAAGATGTCAAAAAGTGACAGTTCAGGCACACAGCGGCACTACCTCGTTACAGATTATAAATTGGCCAAAATAACTAACGAAATGATATGATATCTTATGAGATTCTGTCCAGGAGAAATACTAGCCAGCAAATTGTACCAGACTTGTGATAGACGCTTTTATACATTTACAATATGAGTCAACACAAATATTAAGGAAAATATATTATATGTTGAAGGAATAAGAATGAATTTAGTATAAACGCAAGAGTATATGTATGTTTGGGGGCTAAAGAGTTCACTATCACGCGGATTTAAATAAGAAAAACGAAAAAAAAAATAATAAAAAAAAGATCAAGCTTGTTGATAATATTTTCCCTCGAGATTTCCTTATTAATATTTAAATTTGAAAAGGTTAGAGCAATTATTGTTGTAAATATTAAAAGGATGACAGATCCGTGGCGTGGTGTTGCCAGTTTAGGGTGTGTGGTTTATTTTTTTCGTATGGCAACCTTATAAGCTGGCAACACAGCTCTCAAAGGGTGGGCGGAATAAGTAAACCCCATTCGTTAGTAGTGTTATTGTAATTCGTGTGCGTGCCATCGCGAGTGTCACAAAGAGGGGAGAGAAAAGGGGGTTCGCTGAGCATTCTTTACAATATGGTTTCAGGTTACTTCATTAGTTTGTTAGTATATAGGAATAGGATATACGATATCGTAGCCGTGAGAGTTGTAGGTGTTAGGTATTGAATCGTGCCCCGAAAAAATAGTACAATTGAGACCAATATTAATTTTCGCCTTACGATTTTAATCGATATGTAAAAGATCTGTTAATAGTATATAATAGTATCAGGTATAGTTCGGTATTGTTGCTTCCGATCGGCCAGATAGGGTACAAATAGTGCAAATTCTTGAGGAATCTTTTGATAGATCTGTTTTTTGTCTCCGGTTTTGTTGATTTCTCAATAACATCTCGCTAGTGTCAAAATTTATTCTAGCTATAATTGTTATATTGTCCGTGTTGAGTTTATATGAAAATTTTACAAGCAAAGTTGTTCTGTATGTCCCAATACAATATTAAGGTACCATAGACTATATTTGTTTAAACGGTGTTGTAAATCGTATTCCTATTTAATGCTTTTTGTCATTAATTTATTGATGGCAAGGTGCTTTAATATTTTATAGGAACGGTGTTACAAGTTACGTATGGGCGGAGGTTGCCAGTACTAAAAAATCTGTAATAAAATATGAAAGTGAATGTTTTATACAGGCTTTTTGTTAGTGGAAACTCTCCATAAGGGTGTTTATCTCACCAATTAGTTGGTTCCTAGTTATATGTTTATACCCGCTTCTAGTCTTGCGTTGTACGATAAAGTATTTATTATTGCTAAGCATTTCGTGTCTTAATACTCACTGTTAAGTTTCGTTTCACGCTTGCGTTCATTTGATGAATCTGTTTAATCTGTGTCGTTTTGACAGCTGTCAACTTTTGCGCGACGGAAGTATCGTTGGTCGTAAATCTTGACAGCTGTCAGATAACAAAATTGTCGTCAATAACATCACGTTTAATAGTTTTAACGCTTAATATGATTTTTATTGTTTTATTTTGCGCTTTTTGATAGTACTTTGAGTACAAATAATGTTGTGAAATAATTTTAATTTATTATATAATCACAATCAAAATTGTTTGCTGTTAAATGTTTTAGCATTTTTATATGTTTATTTGCTTTTAATGTTTTTATTGTTAAAGTATATTTATTTAGATATGTTTTGTATATAATAGTAAACACGCACACAAAAGTATTTTTTGTCTCGCTCTGTCGATCACAATCCTTTTGTCCGTCTGTTTTAGTTTGTACTAGTACTAATAACCAAAGTTTTAGATTAACTTTTATGTTTTAAGAATAATTTTTATAGCGTTTTTAGATGAATTGGCCGATTTTAATGTTGTGTGTTTCTATGGCCGAATGTTTTGTTGTCCGCCTTGTAATATGGGAGTTTTCGGATATGCCTAGATTTTTTGGCAAAACTAAATTTGTCTAGATGTTGCTATGTTAAGGGTTGGTATGGAGGGTGGATCAAGCACAAAATGTAATGCTTTATGTAGTTGTTCGTGTATATTTAAATAAATATATAAAAGTATGAATATGTCGTCTATGGTAGAAAAATCTTTAATATTGCTGTTATATTTTGTTATATTTTGCAATTCCTTCTATTCACACACTCTCCATATATTTTAATAATCATTATTTACTTTTTATTTGTGCATTCAGGTTTTTTTAACTTGCAATACATGACACTTGTTTTTTTTCTACAAGAAATACATATTTTAAAGTTTTGCGAATCAAAATTAATTGAATCTACATTATATCTCTATAGCAATGTTTTATATAACAAAAATTGGACATTTTATCAGAATATAAATTGCTATAGATTTTTTAATTAATGCATCAGTTGTACTTTTTATATGAACAATTATCAAATTGGATTATTCGTTTAGTTTTGTTTTTCATAATTTTTTTTATATTTGATTTTTAACATTTAGTTAATCGCTCTCTAATTTTTTATGTATCTTTTTACGTATGTTCTTAGCATAATATTTATAATTGTTAATTTGATATATTAAACTTTGTTAAGTAAGTTTTAAAAAAAAGGCACAATGAGTTCATAGGTTTTCCCATGTTATCGAGAATATGTAATCGATTTTGAGTTTAACTTTCCAAGGTTTTTTACATGTACAATCGTAAACAAAAGTGTAAATTAAAGTATGAAATTAATGAAAAAAACAGCCTGATGTAATTTATATTTAAATGGTCTTAATTAACTCTGATATTTGTTGACTACGTGAATGTAATTTACGCACTTTACTGCAGTTTTTGTGGATTATTTTCGAATGTTTTTATACTCTGTTATTTGTGCCAAAGTCGCTAAAATATTACTTTTGACAAGTCTAGAATTATTATTTGTATGAACTATATTTTTTGACATCTGTTAACTTCCATTACCAATGATGTTGCGTTTTGAAACATTTTTTTCGTAGTTTATGGACGAATTAAAAACTTATTATTTTATTTATATTTAAACTAATTTTCTATTACGTTTTTACCTTAATTGTTTTAAATCAGGTGTCTCTTCCATTTTTTAATTTATGAAATCCTTTGGATTTTTAGCCATTTTTGGATGAAACATGTTTGTATATTTTTTTTTACTAACTTAATAGAAAAAATGTATGTTATACTTTATTGGAGCACAATCGCGTAAAAACTTAATAAAGTTCAAAATATTTAATAAATACTTTTGTTACAAAATCGCTTCTGTGGATGACTGTACCGAATTTAGTAGCTGAAAATACAAACACGTTTTGACTCATAATTATGTTTTATGCAAGAGTTTATACATGTTGAATATACGCAGGTCGTCTAAAGGCCGCCATACACGGCTTCAGACGTGTGGTTGTATTTTTTAAAACTGTAAACTGGGAACTACAGCTGACGCTGTCAGCAATCAGTCCGTGTATGGCAGTCCTCAGAGTTTTAATTTAAGCTTGTAATCATATATAAGTGGATAAAACCGGTGTAAATTGTTGATTATTTGTTACTTATAAAGACTCGTTGGTAGTAAAATCACTTAAAATACATTGCATAGTCTAATTCAATAAAAATGTCCAATTATAAGAAGCTTATTTGAACAGTTTTCCTTAATAATGCTGTAAACGTAAACTTATTACAGACGTGATTTTATTATTAATTTAAATAATGAAATGTTGCAAAAACCATAGACAATAAATTATATTTTCAGCCAGTGATATTCACATTTTTATTAAACTCGACTATGCATGTGTCTTTATTGTATTTTTTTTTTAATTTACGTTTTAAATCAAAAACAAAAACTTTCAAACAGAATAATATGATAATGAAAAAGTTAACTAAATATTGGTTAAATTAATGTAAATTTAATGCTTGATTATTTTTTAATGGTTTGACAAATAAAAAAAAAATCTTTGAAATAGCAGACACTTGTGTGATCATAAAAGTTCGTACACACAGATCGGAGGGTAGAGTACAGCAGAATTTTATCGCAAATTAAATTAAGCTTTATGTGATTGAAAAAAGGTGTAATTTTGCATGTCATGTCAAAAGCGAGTGTATAAAAGCCGTTAAGGTAATAGTAAATCTTATTCAATTACGTCTATACTCCAGTCTGTATGGACAGACCTTATATGTCTACAACTAAAGTGACTAGAATTGTCTAAGCAATATCTGGCTTAAATATCTCATAAAATAAAACAACATTGAATTGATTTTATGTATTTACTCACGTATTTACGTTGTTTACTTTAGGATAATGCTATTCGCTTATAAGTATTAACAAATATATGGGAACTTGAACGTCCTGTGTTACAAACGAAATTACAATTTTTTGTAATATAATTTAATATGGCGTCTCTAATGTTTGTGTATGTGAGCAAATTAACTGTGCACGTTATTTTGTACTCATTTATAATATAAAAAGAACATTTACACGATGTATATTTTACGCTTTCCAGGTTTGAAGCCAAAGAATAATGAACTTTTGTACAAACCGGCTTTAAGCCTATTTTATGTTTCTTAGTTAAATTATTGTCTTGCCAGTGTTATGGCCATCATAATATAATGCCGATTTTGACAGCTGTCAGTGTGACGTAACCTAAAATCGAAAAATGATCGCGCGAGAATCAAGGATTATGTTGTCGGAATATCTTAGTTTCTTAGCTGTCAAAATGGGATTGTTATATTATGCCAGTAATAAAATATATTCATAAGTTACATACTGGTGGGTTATAAAGAGTTTATGGTTGATGCTTACATGCGAGATATAATTTGTAACGAGTGTTATAAAATGGATTTAATAAAGGGAACAGATGCAATGGAAATAGCCGTATATACTTTATAATATGGTCCTTCGAGTCGGACATCAATTTATTTGAATATTTCATGCCTGGAATGATTCAAAGATAAATGAATACTAAGTTACTGCGATTATGTGAATTATTTGTTTTTTAATCGGTAGAAAGTGTCGTGCATGTCCCGTTTTTGTTTGGTTTTTACGTCGTGCAAAGTATACCTCGCATTATATTAACAGTATGTTCGCATTGTGTTGATTAATTGTAGCTAACACAGAGAAAATGAGAGTCGGGGGTGGTCACGGCGGCCGGTCTACGGATGATGAAAACTCTATGGTCTACAGACAGTAATAGTTTTAAATATTCCTCCGAGGCGAAGGCCACGTCCTGAGCCACCTCGCGACTTCTATATTTGTTGTTTGTTCACTGATCACTACTAGGTCACATTTAGTTGGGTAAATTAATACATATAATATAGTTTTATGATGAAATAAAATATGTATATGTAAACCTACATGTCTATTAAATGAAAATAGATTATAATCCGTTTGTTTCATTTCTTGTAGATTGAGATAAAGTGTCTGGGACGCCGTTTGCCCCATCAGAAATGTCTGCCTTCTTGCAGAGGGTATTGTTATAGGCCCCTGAGTGTAAGACATAAAAATCAAGCATTACAAAATAAACGGCCCACGGAAATTGCCTGCCAGTATTTGTTCAGTAATTCTTATAGTGTTGTTCAACATATATGAAAAAATCAGCTTTGTAAAAATAAGTAAACTTAGGTGCGTTTTTTACCAACTTCAGAGCGTGATAGCCCGTAACTGCGCCATTGGACAGGACAACTAATGGCCATTCAGTTATATCACAAACGAGTACTATCTAATCATATATCAGTAAAGCTTTAGAATTTAGGTTTCGTCATCCTAGTCTGGGATCTCAATCTATTACCTTCCACATCTAAAATGATTAGTTTTGAAAATCGAATAAGCAAAAATACTATAATTTTATTAGTTAATTCTCTAAAGAATTCTGAATTTTAATAGAAAACAATTCCAATTGAATAAAATAACATCAACGACCATTTGCACGACTAATGCATCCTGCTTGTAAGGACCAAAATGTACTTTCGGTCAGATAACGCTACGCGACCCGCGCTAGCAAACTCTATATAGCTTCATTAGAGTCAACGCTTAGTTAGCGTGAATTATGCTGAGACTTGACTTGTTTTAGTGTCCGCGGCCAGGAAGATGCCAGATTGCCTGTTCCTTATTGCCTCATTTATTTTTATTTATTTACTAACACCATGCATGGAAATTGGATGAATATCCTAAATATACTTGTTTAGTCATGTCTTACCTGGTTTTTTCATACACAAACCATACTTATACTGTACAAAGTATATTATAATATGAATATTAATGTTTGGATTACTCTGTATGTATCTTTTTTTTTATAATATAAGGTGACAAACGAGCAAGCGGCTACCTGAATACACCGAAATGGAAAGCGACCCACAAACATCCGCAATTGCAGATGCGTTGCCTACCCTTAATTGACGGAGGAGGAGACGCACATAAAGAGGACGTTTCCCCTTCTTATGCGTCTCCTCCACCGTCAAATGAACTTTTCCTTCCCATCCTTTTCTCTTAAGATAAGGGTGGAA